ATAAGTGGACCCTCCCTTTGACTCTAGTCCACCCAAATTTTAAAGCCAACTGCTAGGCAGTAACAGTAGCAGTGATGGAGTCACTTGACTTCGTGGCTCATTCTAATTCTACCTGATCCCTTCTAAACTCTTCATTCCATAGGTTTTAATGACCCTCTCCTTTTTAATGGTCCTGATGCTGTGCTAATCAAACCAGCCTTTCTTCTGCAATGCAGCTGTGTGTTAGCTGCTCCTGGTAAAGTAGCTCCTATTTCTCAGCCCTGAATACTGTTTTTCATTCTAGGTAAAAATATTAACTCAGGTGTAGAAACTAACTCAGATGCAGACACATGTTTCAGTGAAGCATGGAATACATTATCAGGATGTTCAAGAAGGCTAGAATTTGAGTTATAAATCTGAAAAAAGGAGATTTACATTTAATGGCTACAGAACTAAGGAAATAATATATTTTATTGTTTACATAGTTTGTTGTATTTTATACATAATATAGCAAATTACTGCACATTCCATTAAAGTTCTAATTGTTTTTCCTTAAGTCTTACACTTAATAATATAACCCTGGACCCCTAACTTATTAGTAAAGCTTCTAATTTCTTTTTAAGTGGAGAAAAATATGTTGTTTGAGGAAAAAAATATATATCATGAGGCACCACACCATCTGCACTCTGCTTTTCAAAATCCTAGATCTGCCCATGCCAGTATCCCTGTATGCATTACATTCAGAGAGCTGGGAACAGGAAAAGAGAGTTTTTATGTGTAAGCTGTTATGTGATTGTATTTCACTGAGTTGTAAGGTGATATTAGAGTTGACAGTTTTATATAGCATTAATAAAGTTGTGACTCTTTGGAAATGCTGTTTGGAGCATATGTTTAAGAAAAAGTGAATTGTATATTAAAACCCTGGTCCTGCAAGCACTCAACATTTTTGGAGTTTTCTGACTTTGAAAGCTGGAGACTTTTCTATTTTACATCATTATTTTCAGGATTATCAGTGTGTTACTATCATCTCCTGTCTTATGACACCAGAAGTACAGTTTTGAAGCAAATTTTTTGAGGACTTTTGATAGAAGAGTTTAAATGGAAACGTTACAGACTGGTGCAATTCTTTATATTGTAGGGTCCAGGAACTCATGTCTGATGATCAGCGAGAAGCAGGTCGAATTCCTCGCACCATAGAATGTGAGCTTGTTCAGGATCTTGTGGACAGTTGTGTTCCAGGAGATATAGTCACAATTACGGGAATTGTCAAGGTGTCAAACTCTGAAGAAGGTACAGCACATGTAGTTTAAAGTTTCATTTGCTTGGGAGTTTTTTCCCCTTAACCTCATGTATATCTTGCATGCAATTAAAAAGGATAGTTTTGTTAATTGGTCATTGATTTGATCTCTCAAAGCACATCTATTCACTGCTGAGAAAATTACTAAGTGTACAAGGGGAAATTGTTGAACAGGTAGGTGCCCTAGTAGTGAAAAGAAGAAAGGAAAAAACTAAGTTAATAAAGTAAATTGTAGGAGCAGCTGTGTATATCATGGTACCAATCTACACTGACTCTCATGCAATCTGCAGTGCAGTAGCCCTCTGTGTTGAGGTCTGAATTCCCACAACAGGCTTCTGATGTTCCAGTAAGTCATTTGGCTTGAAAAGTTTGCTATACACTGCTAAAGGAAACAAGGCGTTGAGATCAAGGCCTGCTTGCCAGGCTTGTGTCTAAAATGGTCTCTTTGAGATTAGCTTTTTGACAGTTTTCATCTTTCATTTCAAGCAGATTGTTATCAGGGTTAAAATAAATGTTATGGGTACACTTATAACTGTGCAATCTCTTTAATGACTCACTTCTGTGCTTGCGTAAACCTTACGGATCCTCTCTTCTGAAGTTCTCTGGTGATCTGTAATGAACTGTGTACAAAGAATTCTGATGACCTATCAGTTTTTGAAGGTGTTATTATAATAGTTCAGTAATTCTTCTGTTAAGGAGGTAGATAGTGTTGCATTCTTTTTAATAGCATTTTTTCTCATCTTTCTTACTATACAACTTTAACAAGTATTTTAGGAGTAAAATGTAGTATGCATCTATTCAGACTAAGCTAGTAGTTTTAAAGTCTCATATAATATCAGGGTTTTTTTAACGGTGTCATTTGTGTTTCTAAATAATGAATTTAATTTAATTAAAATAATTATTCTAAAATGTAATTAAAATAAAATTGATTGCATATTTCAGATAAGTCCCTGACTCTGTGTCTAACTGTAAGAAGATGAACCAGCATTTTAAAAGTAAAGGAAGCTCATCGTGTCATTTTTCTGGCTTTGTATCAGGCTTTGAAAAAAAGTTGTACAAATACAATTAGCAGTGTATTGTCCTAGAACTACATCGTCCTGCATCTAGAAACTGTGACTGGACTTTAGCTCATATTTTTAATTAAAGTGTTTAGCAGTTTGAGCATGTGGTTTTTAATATTTCTGAACTAAATTAATTGCCTTCCTACTTTTGACTGTCTTTGTCATTTAACAGGAGCCTCTAGAAATAAGAACGATAAGTGTATGTTCTTGTTGTACATTGAGGCAAATTCTGTCAGCAACAGTAAAGGACAAAAAATTAAAAAATGTGAAGATGAGACTGATCACAGAGCATTCCTGGAATTTTCACTAAAAGATCTTTATGCTGTTCGAGAGATTCAAGCTGAGGAAAATCTGTTCAAGCTGATTGTCAAGTAAGCTGTTTCTTAGTTTTAGCAATGTAGACCTTACCATGGCAGCTTTTGTCTTTCAAGTCTGGTGTATTATTTGTTCGGCTTCTTGACTGACTTAAGCAGTCAGTACTGGCCACATCTCTTAATGAAGTATTCCCTTGTGGGTTAATATAAGCATGATGCCTGGGTAGGAGGGTGGGAGATGAGGTTAGTTAAGCAGATGTTTGCAGTTGTAACCAGTTGTTGAATTTTCACCCCAACTGTGTGTATTCTTCAGCAGGGCAGTATATGTACTTGTGCTCACACATACCTCTGTGATGTTTTTCTTCTCAATCTCTTCTTTTTTCAGTCCCTAAAGTTTTTTGCATTATTATTTTTTTAATGTGTGAAACCATTCTACTTGCAGCTTGTGTTGTGCACAGTTCTGTTATGTTCTGTAGTCTGCCTGTGGCA